CGCGCATGCGCAACATCCTATAGGTTCTGTACTGGAATTAGTCAAGTAGTTCTCTTTGGGTTTTTCGAGTCGTTCGTTCATCACGTGACTGCCCCATAAGCTTAACCTATGCAGTCTGAACCGGAAAGAGAATTGATTAGTTCATCTCTCGAGTCTTCGGGTTTGAGTCGTTCAGATTGCATTGGTTAAGTTTATGGGGCTGTCACGTGATGAACAAACGACTCAAACCCGAAGACTCGAGAGATGAACTAATCAATTCTCTTTCCGGCTCAGATTGCATTGGTTAAGCGTATGGGGCTGTCACGTGATGAACAAACGACTCAAACCTGAAGACTTGTCAGATAAGAGGCGAGGTGAGCTAATCATAGACTGAAGACCCATGTAAACAATGAATTAATCTTTTCTGTTTCTTATAGCATTATAGTTTTGTATTGTTTGTAGTGTGATCAACGCTTGCGTAAGTAGTAGATGTGTTAGGGAAGTAACACGTAACACTTGAATTATATTTTGCTAAAATGAACGAAATGACTCGAAAAAATATTCGTTCATTTTGCTGAACGAGACTCAAAGGTCCGAGTCGGTGAAATGATCCGAACTTCCCAACATTACCATGCTGCAGATGAGTGACTAAAGATGTACGTATTTAAGACTATTTATGTGATGAATTTTCAGTATGTGATATATAACAAACACATTATGTGCAATAGCAGCAAAGCTGATGTCATTATCAGAGCAGCAAACATCTGTTGTAGATATCAGAGCTGAGTGTGAGCATCTGAGAGCTGACAGCACGCATGTAGGGAAGCCGTCGATACCCTCAGCAAACCGTTAAGGAGTCTTTTGATATTGTGCCGAGAGAGAGAGAGAGAGGATGAGGATCGCTCCATGAGAGCAATCTTCCAACAATGCCATCAGTTCCCGCTACATGTCTGTTGCCATGGAAACCCCTCCGATAGCAGGTGAAGATCAGAATGGGGAAATCTCATGAGTTATGAGAGCTGTGGGTGTGGCTGGTTGCTAAGGTGTCGTTATGCAGTTGCTAGGATATTCTGGTTGGTTTCCAGGGCATTGCTAAGCAAGGTGGTGGCTTATTGGTCCAAGTCAAGGAAGAAATTATGTTGTTTAAATAAAGCATTTATACATAATGGTATGTGTGTAGTACTGCCTATATTTAAAAAAAATAAAAAAAATAAAAACATGAAAACATTTTTTTATTTTAGTTGCCATTATTATAGCTATTATAAATTATAGTTAATAATAAAATAATAATAATAATAATCAGCCCCATTTTTTAATATTGTAATAGCATATAAATATCTAATTTTCTTTCTTTTTTTCTTATATTAAATTATAAAATATTTATACATGGTGGCATGTGTAGAACTGCATATATTACAGAAATAAACACAATTTTATACACAAAAATGATTCTATTACAGTAAATGAGAATAACTGAATAATGGAAATAAAGGAAAACTAAATAAAATAAGATAAAAGTGAATAAAAATGAAAATAACTAATAAAGAATAGTAGTATAGTTATTATAACAAAAATAATTATCATTTAAAATCAAGAAAGTCTAAAGAAACGTTATATTATTTAAATAATTAAGTATTTATACATCATGATATAGTTCTGCCTATATTACAGAAATAAAAAATACACAATTTTATAATCAAAAATATTGTATTAGAGTAATAAGAATGACTGAGTAGTGAAAATAAGGTCAAATAAAATACAAGTATTCAAATATTATAGTATTTATAATAAAAATAATTATGAAAAGATCATAATGGCCCTATGTCTCATTAGCAAATAAACAAATAAAGTAAGTTTATATTTAAATCAAAGTATTTATAAATCATGGTATATGTGTAGTACTGCCTTCATTTTAATTATTGTATATATACATATTGTAGTGATGAAATTAAGAATGAATGCATGAGGGGGAAAAATAATCTTTAGAACATCTTGTTTGTTTGCTAATGAGCTTTTTATTTCAGAAAAATAAATATTAATATTTCAGAAAATAATATGTAAACATGGCTATGTATTAAACATTAAATATCACTAACAGAGATGCTTACCTTTACAACAGTTCTTGTTATCATTATAATGGATCATAATGATCATAACATAACATACGCTGTATGTTCAGGGAACATGTAGGGCAGAGATTTGTCATGGAAATCGGTCCTACATCCGAGTATCTCCCACCGCAGGGACATCAGCAGACAGCGCTGATAAACGCACTTCAAAGAGCAGCATTGTGACTGTAAAATGACTAATGCCACCGCTTGCCAGATCCACAACGCC